ACACACACACACACACACACACACACAGAGAGAGAGAGAGAGAGAGAGAGAGAGAGAGAGAGAGAGAGAGAGAGAGAGAGAGAGGTATCCAGCCGGATCCTGACCTAGAGGAAGATAAAGATGGAACCCGCGAGCCGCATTGGAAAGTGAATGCGCCCACGAACTTTGTTCAAGTTCGGGTTGTGGCTTAGGGTCGCGTTTTGACTTGTAGTGATGGATTGTGCTCCCAATCGTTAGATGAGGGGCTGTTCGCGTGTGGTGGTATAGAAAGCACAAAAGAAACAATTGCGCCTCTCACTACATACGTACCACTACTCCTAAGCCTATAGAGGGGACCCGTGAGAGCATAGCTACGTCTCTCAATCAAGGGGATGCATGTTGCTCTCCGCTGTAATCGGCGGTTGTCAGGGAGTAGAAGAAAGGGAGGAAGCGGGGGGGGGGAGGAGGATGGGGTGGCTAACGCAAAGACCGGTAAATTTTTGGAGTTTTTTTCCTTGTCTGACACTTCCGTCGCTATGTACGAACCTACCCCATGTTGATTGGGTGGGCAGATTTGCAGGCAGGTAGTGAGTTAAGTAGGATCGTGACTTGCCAAGGCCCAAGACTGGTAGCAGAGGGGAAGGAGTGTGTATGTGCAGATGATAGAGTATAAGTAGAGAGAGGGCTTCGAGGTCGACACATTGAATTTCCCGAAGATATGGGGGGGTGTTAAAAAAAAAAAAAAGATAAACTGCCGCACGAACGAAGAGAGTTAGCGACCGAGTGCAAAAGGAAGAAGAAGAGGATGAAGGAGAGGAAGGAGGAGGAGCAGAAGGCGAAGAAGGAGATGAAGAGGAAGGAGGAGGAGGAGGAGGAGGAGGAAAAGAGAAGTCGACGAAGAGGAAGAAGTCGGGAAGAGGAGGGAGAAGGAGAAAAAGGGGGGAGGATGAGGGGGAGAGTGCCCATTGTTGTCCTTTTCCTGCACCCCCCTCTTTTGCTCATCAATCACAGTTGTTTACACCTGTTCCCGAGTATAGCTCCTCCGCTATCCTCCTCTTCCTCTTGCTCTCCCCCGCGTCTCCCCGCCATGGGCTGCTTTCGTGTCGATCATGTTTTATATGTTCTCTGTTTTCCTACATAATTGCTTTACCTGTTTTCCTTTCTTTTTTTTCCTTCCGTGTACATGCGGGCACACGGGCTCCGCAAACAAAGAGTAAAAAACAACAGAGCTGCATTACCGCCCCTCTCCCTTTCTCTGACCTCCCCCTCATCCTGGCTTTGGGGGAGAGAGAGAGAGAGAGAGAGAGAGAGAGAGAGAGAGAGAGAGAGAGAGAGAGAGAGAGAGAGAGAGAGAGAGAG